CGAAAAGCAAAAGACAAACTTCTTCATTGGTATACAGTCTCCCCGCCCCGCCCGCCCCAAATGCACTGAACTGATTATTTCTGATATGAAATATTTCAAAGCAGACTGTGTTTTTAAGTATTAAGGATTGATTAAAATGATTATGTCTTGGTAGAATGCATCACAGACTAAAATAGCAGAAGAAAATGGAGCTGTTTTTGCCGGAGGAACTGATCTGATTCAAAAGGTGCAGTGTTGTTTTATGTTCATTATTTATAGAGATGGTCTGTAATATTTGATATTATTGATTTGTTACATGCAACACTTAATGCCCATATCTTTTGATAATATAGTAGTAGAGCTTTTTGTACTGAGGAAAATGTTCTACTCTTTTGAGTCACAGAATCAAGGTTAAGAAAAACTATCCAGACTATCTGGTATAAATTACGTTTTACATACTTAGATTTTTGTTTCTTGTATCTTGTTTTATGTTTATGAGGATTTTATGGGTAGATTGGAAAGGGCAACTTGATTGTATAGTTTTGGATATGAGATTTAAATTAGAATACAGAGCACCCGGTATTTCTGTATTTGAAAGGTCAAATATTTCTTTTCCTTTCTTGGAATGAAAAATGTGATTTCCTCAGTATATCTTCAAATCTGACTTTATGATACTTTTGATTGCTTTTAGCTTTTATCTCTGAGTCAGTTTTGAGTGGAATAAGAAAGCATTGTAGTGATGAGTGATTATACAGTCTAATTTTAGAAAATAACAGAGCTCCCCACCCCCTCCCAGCAAAGTGGGAGGAAGAGGTATTCTGGTGAAATTTGGGAAATTATTTCTTAAATACGAAAGATTTTCCTTAACATTGTCCACCTTCTAAATGTAAATAATACATTTAGATAATGGAATGAATAGTGTCTCTCTCTCTCTCTCTCTATATATATATATATATCACACACACACACACACACACACACACACAGAGAGAGAGAGAGAGATCTGGTGGTGCAATATTTATGTGCTTGACTGTTAACCAAAAGATCAGTGATTTGAATTCACCAGCTGCTTCATGGGAGAAAGATGTGGTGGTCTGCTTTTATAAGCATTACAGTTTAAGAAATCCTATGAGGCAGTTTTGCTCTGTCATTTAGGGTTGCTGTGAGTTAGAACTGACTAGTTTAAGATGGCAAAGATTTGGTTTGATTTCTGTAAAGTATATTTCTGTAAAGTTACAGGAATGGAACAACAGTGACTTGAAAACTTATACTTAATATCCAGATCCTCATTTGGGGAAGTTTTGGCTGGGACATCCTTTGGGATTATAGCAGTGCTTGTAGTTTTATATTTCACCTTTCAAGTGGCCCTCTACATTTGGTAGAAATTCTGAATGTTGAAGGACAGTTTCTAGAATGATTGACCTTTGGGAGCAGAACTAGTGGGAAAGCAGGAAGAAATCATGAGTTAGTAGAGATTCTGTGCCAGAACCAAAGGGTAATATCTAGTTTCATTTGAAGTATCATTCATTTTAAAAATGGTTAACTTTTAAAATGATTATTATGAAACTGAGTACCCTAAGTGCTTGAAAATTTGGGAATGGAACTTGTTCTCTTTGGATTGCTTTTGGGAGTATTCGTTAGAGGCAAGGATGGTGAGGCTCATACTTTGGACATGTTGCCAGGAGAGGCTTTTACTTCCAAAAGGGTATCATGCTTGGAAAGGTGGAGGGTCAGCAAAAGAGAGGAAGCCCCTAATGATATGGATTGACATAGTAACTGCAGCAATGGGTTCAAGTGTGTTAGAGATTGTGAGAATAGCACAGGATAGGACAGGAATCAGATCTGTTATACATTGTACCACTATGAGTCATACTTGACAGCACCTAAAAACAAAAACAACAACACTCTGTAACTCCAAACCAGAGTTTCAAGTGGCATGTTGTAAGATTTCATGCAAAAAAAGAATCATAGGTAAAATATTTGTTGCCCAAGCACTATTGTTCCAATGAGTTGCTTCATTTTATAATCAGCAAAATTTTAAAATTGAGAATTGTTGTAATATAATAGTCACGTTGGGTGCTTGCCTGAATTAATTTTAAATGTCTGTTTTAAATTGAGTTTCATCCTCTTGTAGTGTGCAGTTAGGGTCTGAATAATGAACTATAAGTGAACTTGTCTTTGACTCCCCCCTCCTTTTTTATTTTTAGTTATTGGCAACAAAGAGAACTTTAGTTTCGGTTCTTTGTGGGAATAATTATAGATTCAGTTCTCTTAATGCCCTAAATTTAGGAATAGAGTTGGGTTGCTAGTGAATTTGGCAACTGTTTGGTATTAATTTTACATGCGATCTATTGCAAAATTTCAGCTAGTTTCCTCCTTTTTTGTGGATATGTGAATTAAAGTATCTTGAATTGTATGCACCAAGTGCATTCTAGTTTATAGAAAAATTAAATTTTTAAAATGTTTTCTTAAAAATTAATATTAAAAAAGCTTCAGAATTCTTTTTGCATAAAAATGGTTTTTATAATGGGTAAATATATTCATGTGTTCTTTGTGTTTAAAGAATAAAAAATGGTGCTTAATGTCTTTCTTCTGAATTATAAGGAAAATTGACAAATTTTACTTAAATTATTTTTAAAGAAGGAGGAAAATTTTATATTATCTGAGACTCTTTATTTCTGAATTTTTAGGTTTTGACTGATGAAATTCATGCAGACTTTTATATAGCTGTTCCAGAAATAATGCCTGAGCTTAATCCACTAAAGAAGAAACTAAATAAAAGATTTCCAAAGTTTACTCGAAGTAAGGGAGATTTTTTCTTTTTTCATTATTTCAATATCCTGTCAGTAACTCTGTTCATTTAGCACGTAAAATTGCAAATATTGTGTTCTATTATTCAAATATTATAAAATCAAAATAGAATAAAATAATATAAAATAATAAATATAAAAAATCTATGTGTTAAAATATTGTATGTTCTATTACCTGAGTTTTGGATTATACAAGAAGATATGAATTAATATTGTTTTTCCTTTGCCCTTAAAATTGGTAGTCTAATTCAGGAGCCTCACTTTTGAGTCCAGTTATTTAAATATAGTCTGTATTCTAGCTTCAAATTGAAAGAACTGGGCTAGCCACTGTGTATGTTCTTATGCTATTTTCTTAACACTTAGATCACTTTGTCAATATAATATGCTTTCTTTAATTTTAATCATCAATATCTCAATAACTTAAGGCTACAGCAGCTGAGAGAGACAAAAGCTCTGTCTCAAATACTTTGGTCATGTGGCCAGGATAGACTAGTCCTTGGAGAAGGACATCATGCTCGGATGGGTAGAGGGACAGCGCAGGAGAGAAAGACCCTGAATGAGATGGATTGATACAGTAACTGAGGCAAATGGGGGTTGGTGTGTCAGAATTACTGAGACTGGCTCAGGATAGGGAAGGGTTCAGAGCTTTTGTACATAGGGTCGGTATGTGTCACAGGAGACTTGATGGCACATTACAACAACATCTGAATTCGGTTTGTGCTTACCAGTCAGTGCTCAACTTTGCAGATATTTTTCCATAAAGATAAATTTTCTTGAGAAACGTTTTCCTATGAATTGTCTCATTTTAGGAAATATAATGAGAGGGCAGGAGAAAGAGGAGCCATCTCCTCTTGTGTATTGTATAGCCTCTGAAAATTGTAGTGTCAGCTATGAGTTGGTTCCAACTTGGTGGTACACAGCAAAGAGCAGTAAGGGAGGAAGATTTGTACCCTTATATCCAAGGGTGAGGTTACTCACCATGACCACTCATTGTGATCCTCCGTTGGGTTTCCAATGCTATAAACCTTTACAGGAGGAGATGACTCATCTTTCTCCTGTGTATTGCTTGATGGGCTCAAATCTCCAGCCCCATAGTTAGCAGCCTGCAGTGTTTCACACTATACAACCTGTACTCTTACATGTGAGGTGTTATATGATAAATTTATAAGATGCTGTGGTTGTTTAATGCAGGCGAAGCTTACAGATAACTGGGGAAATCAGAGAAAGTGTCATGCAGTAGGAGATGTTTAAACTGCACCATGAATAATTGGATGAGTGCATTAAGGATAATATTATTTTAATAAATAATATATTAATCATAGCCATAAAAGTGAGAAATTACAGGCCAGGTGTAAAAATAGCAGTTAATTCTCTTTGTCTGCAATGAATGATAACCTTACATTGAACTGAAGAATAATAGTGGAAAATGATGTGGGAAGGGAGGTTGATGTGATATTGAGGAGCATGTTGAGTGATAGGCTAATGAATAGGACTGTTATTCTGGATTCAGCAGGAGTCTCTTAGAATTTTTGTTTGTAGAGAGTGACATGATTAGTAGTACAGTGCTTAAGTGCTCTGCTTCTGTCCTAAAGGTCCCAGTTTAAAGCTACCATTTGTTTCATGGGAAAAAGATGTGTTACTCAAACCGTAAGGAGCAATTGTAGCTATACTCTGCCTTATATGTTTATTGTTCTACACTTGACAGCAACATTTTTTTTATTTTCTTTAACCTGGCAAAAATTTTAAGATGTATTGGAGAGCAGAGAGGTCCCTTAGGTTGTTACTAATAACAAAAGACACTTATGTTGACACTTATGCTAAGTTCTTTATAAGAGACTGGCATAAAGAGGACAATTGTAAGGAAATAGTAAGACTTTGCAGCTTGGTGGTTAAGAATGGATTGTTGTTATCTACCTTCCAGTCCTAATCGACATAGTTGATCTTCCAGTGGGTTTTTAGAGATAGTACAGGGTTCAGGTCTTCTGTTCATCAGGTTGCTATGAGTCATGCTCAACTTGAAGGCAGTCAACAACTACAATATATCGCAAAGGAGGTGATTGCACATCTTTTTTCCATGGAACAGCTGATGGACTTAAAACACCTCCTCACAATTTTAAGCCATCTCCCTTAAGGTGAGATAGATTGAAGGAAAGCCATGTCAAATGATGCTGAGGTTTAAGCCTAGGGACCTTTTAATGGTGATGTCATTAATAAAAAACAAGGAGTACATTTCGCTAGAAAAATAAGTCTTTTTGAAAACAAGACTTGTTTTACATACTGCCGGATGTTTGAGATAGACAGGTTGTTGTTGTTAGACTCAGAACTGATTCATAGCTGACCCTTGATTGGGTTTTCAGAGACAGTAAATTGCTCATGATTGATAATAAAGAAAGGAGTGTATCCTTTCTCTGTATTTTCAGTCTTTATACAGAACAGATAGTACTTTGTTAAGAAGAATGTGGCATCAAAATTGGAGGAAGACTCATCAACAACTTGTGATGACACAACCTTGTCCACTGAAATGAAAAAAGGTGTTGAAGTGCTTATTACAGAAGAGCAAAGATTACAGCCTTCACTATGGATTGCATCTCTACATTAAGAAAACAAAGATCACCCTTGGGCCAATGGGCAATATCATGATAGATGGAATAAGACTGAGGTTATTAATTATTTCACCTTGCTTGGATCCACAATCAGTATTCTTGGCACCAGTAGTCAGAAAACTGAAAGATGAGTTGCTTTGGGGCAATATGCTGTCAAAGATCTCTCCAGAGTGCTAAAGAGCAGCAATGTCAATTTAGAGGTCTGATCCTGTTCATAGTTTTCTCATTAGCTTACCGTGCATCTGAGAGGTAGACAGTGAATAAAGAAGACAGAAGAAGAATCAATGCCTTTGAGTTGTGCTGGAGAAGAGTATTGAACATATGTGAGCTACCAAGAGAACAAACAGATCTGTCCTGGAGAGGCTGAAACCAGATGCTCCATACAGGCAAGGTTATGAAACGCTGTCTCACATACTTTGGACTTGTTACCAGGAGGGACCAGTCCTTGGAGAAGTGCATAATGCTTAGAAGAGTGGAGAGATAGCATATGTGAGGAAGACCCTGAGTGAAATGGATTGACACAGTGACTGTATGATTGGCTCAAGATAGGGCAGGGATCAGAGTTATTGTACATAGGGTTGCTATGAGTCATACTAGACTTAATGGCACTTATGAACAACAGATTGTTTAGGAGGAGATTTTTCCCTGTGGAATAATTTGGTGGATCTGAACCTTTGGATTGGCAATGCAGCTTACAGTTTATAGTATAAAGAGAACATCTATTTCTTAAATTGTTTAAATAGATTTATCTTGAAATTTCAACTCTAAATTGAGCTAAAGAAAAAAGAAAATCTTCTAAAATTCTTCATACATGATAGCCACTAACACTTGTCTAAATTAAGGCCTATGTTCTCTAGTTTAAGCAAATTCATGAATTCTCTAAATATTTTTATCATACTGGACTGTAGTTTATTTTTTAATAGATTTCACTAAATCCAGAATCCTTCTTAAATAATTGCACTGAGCTTTAACACTTTTTAATAAATATTTCCATTGCATCAGACTCCATATTCTTTCATAAGATGTGAAATTAAACATTATTTTAAAAATTAAATCATAATTACATTTAAATATATTGAATATTTCTCATAATTTTTGTTTTTAATGAAATTCAAGCCTATAGGAACAAAAACAAGCATACGTTGTTGTTGTGAGGTAGTGTTGAATTTATTCCAACTCAAAAGGACACTACAAATACATATTTTTTTTGAAAAGATACTTTTTACTATATTACAAACAGTTCTCTTTTATTACCATTGAGTTACAGCCCACTCATCCCTGAGCTCTAGTGCATTTTCGGAGGGTATAATTTGCCCATATTTTTAAATTAAAGGAGGATATTGCCCGTATTTTCCCCTCGAGCACCTGATGGATTCAAACTGCCAGCCTTTGCATTGGCAGCATAACTCTTTTTGCACTAGACTATCAGAGTTCTCTGTAAACACTGCTTTAAAAAGTAATATTGCAGCTAAAATAATGAATACTATGATTACTAAATTACTATGAATACTATCACATAGAGAGAATGTAAGAAAACACCAAGATGGATGTCACATGGGACTCTGAGTATTGCATTAGAGTGCCGAGAAGCCAAAGTTAAAGGAAGAAATCAAGAAACCAAATTGCTGGACAGAAAATTTCAAAAGGCAGCTCGGGATGACAAAGCAAGATACTATAGTGAAATGTGCAGAGAGCTGGAGTCAGAAAATCAAAAGGGCCAGACTTGCTCAGCGTTTCTTAAGCTGAAGGAGTTGAAAAACAAATTAAAGCCATGGGTGGCAATACTTAAAGATAGTTTGGGTAGAATGTTGAATGATCCAGGAAGTATAAAAAGAAGATGGAAGGAGTACATAGAGTCACTGTATCAGAAGGAATTGGCTGACACAGAGGAATTTCATGAAATAACATATAAGCAAGAACCTATGGTGATGAAGGAGGAAGTTCAAGTTGCTATGAAGGAATTGGCAAAAAACAAGGCTCCAGGAGTTGACAGGATACCAATTGATTTATTTCAACAAACAGACGCTGCCCTGGATGTGCTCACTAAGTTGTGCCAGGAAATCTGGAGGACAGCTAGCTGGCTAACTGACTGGTAGAGATCGATATTTGTTCCCATTCCAAAGAAAGGTGACCCAACAGAGTGTGGAAATTATCAAACAATATCACTGATATCACATGCAAGCAAGATTCTGCTGAAAATTATCCAAAAACGTTTGGAGCAATATGTCAACAGAGAACTGCCAGATGTGCAGGCTGGATTTAGAAGAGGTCATGGTACTAGGGATATTATAGCTAATGTAGCATGGATCTTGGCAGAAAGCAGAGAATACCAGAAGAATGTGTATCTGTGCTTCATTGACTATGCAAAGGCTTTTGACTGTGTGGATCA